ACGGACGCTGATTCGTCCACTTGCAGTCCTATATACTAAGTCAGGAGATTGATCTCTCCGTTAGTATATCATTTCCCTGCAAGTCCGGAGGTTGTGGTAACCATCCTTGCGGAGTGTTAAGATCCCTGATCCCTGATCCCTTACACCGCAGACCAAGAGTGGTTAGGGTGCTGATCCGCCTGATACTTAAGGTATATCCACCTATTCATCTTCCTTCATCCACTCAGTCATCTGAACCCTCTAACACTGAATACGCTTCTGGTAACTTGCATACTGCCTCTGCATATATACCTCGACAGTTTAATTGACCGAAATCTCTACGCACTTTTTTCTAAATTCCACCAACAGTAAACTTTATCAACACCACTAAGTACTATTAAGTATGTTCCTGAACTTTCTTCGGATCGAACAAACATGGCAGTTGCGCGTGAATGCTGATATTATCTTCTCCGACGACAGTTGGTTAAGAAATAAAACCTTAAAGGGCTGAAATGCTAGAGGTTGGTTAAGTACAAAAACCAACCAAACGATATGTAAATAAGCATTCGTCTTGACCTATCCAATCATTAGGTCGTTTTCAATTTGTTGTTGATTGTGGTATTGACAAGTGCTAACTGGACATAGACAGTAATGCGTTTTGTAGAATTGCGAACAAGTATGAATTAAATTAATATTATTATGTTTTTATCAATTGACCTAGTGCCCCGTTTTAAGTTCTTTGAAGTAGGTTAGCGATTGAGTGAGAGAGTTGGGCGATAGCGGTACCCAGAGGAGGCAGTGGAGCTGGTGGCTGTGTGCGTTATGGACGGCTGAATCCTCATTATCTCAGTCGGGTAGTCTGTTCCATAGACCGTGGTTTAACATTCTCACCAAGTATCTGACCCCTTTTGCCAATCTGACCATAATCCTAAATAATTCATGTCACAGTTTAGAGGGGAAGATAATGTACTGAAGTAACCACGCTATTATCTTAATTAATCGGCTCTAACCTATTCTAAAGCCAGCGAATAAAGAAAAAACAATTTATTTATATATTTGTAAATAAATAAATGTAAAAATTTCCATCAAACAAAACAAAATAAAATGAAATTTAAGGATCTTAATGCAAGAATTTTTTCTTATATTTACTCCTTAGAATAAGTTATGTGTTAGCAATGCATAATGCTGTGTATCACGGATGCTGATGTGTGAGTTCAAATATATTGCGAATTTTTTTTATTTATGATATTTACAACTGTAATAATAAATAATATACATTTAGTAAATTTGATAACAAAAAATAATAACATGAAATGACTTGTTGAGAAAACTACCCACTGGTAACACTCTAAAATAAAAATGTATTTACAATAGGAGATCTCGACGCCATCTTCTTTTCAGACGCCTCGGAGGGTTATCAGGGTTAGAGACGAGTACGCATTTACTTGATGTATTTATATTGTAATACAGTTGTAAATATCTTGAATAAATAGTTAAAAAAAAAAAAAGCAAAATATTATCTGGCTCAAATATTTTGCTAATTATTTAAACAATTGTTGACTCGACCATTTGTTAACAAAGTGGGAAAGCAACACTTTATTATAAGTGGAACTGCCTAATTATTTCAAGTTGCTCAACACAATACAACTAGAGTTGATTAATTGTGTTAGCTTGCTTCAACACACAATACCTGGAACTCTATAATTACATTTAGTTGTTTATACACGTAGCTTCTACCAATAATTTGTAATTACTGTAAATAATCACCTTTGCAATACCATCACCTGCATATTAACTATCAATAAGTAGACTTATGTTCATTAAATTTTTATTTATTTATTAACAATAAATAAAATGTCACAGATTTATTTAATTCAATAAAGAAATTTTCACATTGATTATTTATTTGTAGTAACCCATAATGCAATAAGAAAAACATTTTAAAAATTTATTTAGTTATCAGTAGTCTCTATGTTTTATTCTTAGTTACCAAACTAACCAATAATCCATCAACTGTTAGAAAAAAAAGATTTTTATACTTCAGAAAAAATATTTAGTGTAATAATGTATTCTAGGAAAATTCTTACTCAGAAGAAATAAGCAGGAAGGTACGGATAAAAGAAATGAAAAAGAATGACTAACGAACTGTGGTAATTTATTCTATTCGAATCAAATCAAAGACATTTATTTTTTAAACTAAAAAAAAAAAAGATGGTCATTTATAATTTCATTTCCAAATATAATTAAACCAAAATCGAATAATAATTATGAAATATTGCTTTCAAAAAGCCATTTTTAAAAAGTTTAACGAAAACCTCACATGGTTAAACTCTAGAATGTTAAACCTTCGTCAAATCAACAAAGGTGACAACATAATTCTTGGTAAAAACTTTCAAGAAATTATCATCGTGCCTTACAGTTTATAATGAGATGTATAAATATATGTATGTACGTATGTCTGATGTATTCTGTTTATAATGAGTATATTATTCATTATTCAAAAAACAATTTTTAGTGTTTTAATTCAAATTTGACATATTCTATTGACCTAAACTATTTTTATGGTAACAATTTTCACCAGCTAGCCGATATATGCTTTGCTTATTGAAATAAGTTTTAGTTAGTGAAATTTAATATACATTTAAACCGTCTTTTATATAATCATTATTACATTACCAACAATATAATGCTCACTATCTTTTCTTATTGTATCTTTTAATAATCATTCGTAAAATCCTTTCTGCTTCTTACTTTGTCACAAATAAAACCATCCATAACGACCTTAATGTTCCTTATGTTTCTGACCTGGTCCAATCCAGATACCTATCCTTACATAACAAACTTCATAACCATCCAAACCCTCTCGTTTCTAACCTTGCTTCCTCTTCGATCCCTGATAACCCGCCGAGGCGTCTGAAAAGAAGATGACCTCGAGATCTCCTTTTGTAAATATATTTTTAGAGTGCTACCAGTGGGTAGTTTCTCAACAAGTGGCTTCATGTTATTGTATTCTTGTGTTCACATTTAGTGAATGTATTTTTATTTGTAAAACAGTTGTAAATATCATAAAAATAAAAAAATCCTTTAAAACTCTTTGAAATGAAATTTTGGTTTTGTGAATTGAAACGACAAAGGGTTAGCAATAAACTGGGGGAGACTGGGTACGGTTTTGAAAGACTATTAGCGAAACTATAAGGAATAGCCGATAGGTTTAAAGGCAAGAAAGGATATTGTATGTTGTGCCTGTCTGAACGTATTTAATAGTACTATTAATGCGTGGCGCAAAATTAGCGCCAATATTCATTGTTTTTTAACAGACTAGAGTACTTATTTTTATTCTGTCCCTTTGAATAATTGTTGTTACATATGTACAGATAGAGTAATAAATATTTTTCCTAGTTACAAGTTAAACATTAGTTGATAATTAGCAGTTACATTGTACGTTGATAATTTTATATTGTCCAGGCGAATATTTTCTTGTGAAGGAGTGCGTTTGTTACAGTTGTGACACAAGTTTTTTTTTTTTTTAAACTTGTTTATTGATAATATTACAACCAGTCTCATAGGACATTTATAATAGTGTTCTGATATCACATTCATACTCTATGTATAATAAAAAATAAATTATACTGAAAAATAATTATATATATATATATATATATATATATATATATATATATATATATATATATATATATATATAATAAATAAGTATAAAATAACCCAAAAAGAAATAAATAAAAAAGAACTCATACTATTTACAATCAGACGAGTTAACTCCGAGCCACACTTCTCCCTCCAACTGTGGAGAGAAAAGCATGACTCCAGGAGATCCCTGCAATTCTCTCTCAACCGCTTCACTGGGACTAAACCCGGTGGAGATTGAGCGATAGTGCTTTAGCTACATACACTCATGTCGTGAGTGGAGAATCTGACCATTGCCAGAACTTCAATATTTACAAACTATGAAAGGCAACTGCAAGTAAGTTTTTTTTTTTGGTTTTGACCTAAAGTTGATTCCTACACAAATGTTTATGCCTTATTAGTTATAAGCCATTAAATTGTTCAATAATGTTATATAATAGAATGAAAGTGTTTTTTAGAATATTTTTTTCGTTTTTTTCAACCCGTCAGAACTACAATCTCACAATCCCAAGCATTGTCACACCGTCGTTGAGGTGGAGTCGGTTGTGACATTTCCGGACGAAACGTTAGTATTTATAAATATTCGAGTGTACCATTTACTATTAAAAAAAATACCTTTCTTCTATCTAATTGGAATAATAACAAAATTGAGGATGATTAAATAAAAGTTGTCACAACCGTACCCAGTCTCCACTCCCCTCATTGAAGTTTACAATCCTGGAATTAAAATAATTAAAGTTTCTAATAAAAGATCTCCTGGATTCCCGCTTTCCCCACTATAGTTCGAGAAACAAGCATGGAGTTGCCTCGAATTTATTTGGTGATTTGATTCTGTTTATTTTATTTATTTATACATTCTGTATATATAATGTGAATGTATTCTTACCTTAGTATAACCACTGTTCGGTTTAGGGTCAATATATAACTAACCGTTACATCTAATCCCTAGGTTCGAAATAGAATAAAATTGAGTACTCTGTATTTGAAATAAACTCACTTTTATTTCACTAAAAAGTTTAAACAGAGATTTTTGACCTTATGTCTTTTAGACTTTTTATAACAAAAATAATAAAAAATATTCACATATGCATATTTCAACAATATGTGAAACTATTAAATATTTATAAAATAAATATCACTTTTGATCGATTCCCTAACATCAACCCACCTGAGGAGTTTTGAATTGTTTCTTACAATTCAAAAGTAGTGAAACATAACCGAAGAGACTCTCTTTAGTCTTTGGATCATAGAATTCCCCTTTTTTTTCTTCTCTTTTTTGAATACTTTTTTTTTCTTACATGTATCTTTTTTGATCCATTCTATTTCACACGAAAATGACTCACTGTCTTTATTTGTAGCAGTTTTCTCTATGGAAATTAGTTTGGTAGTGAGGAGAAATACATTAATTCTGGAGCATCAGCCGTATAAGCACCTGATGAATTTTGAATATCATTTATATTTTTAATTTTAATTGCATCATTTTTATCATTCCCCTTGTTTCGTATCATTTGAGGAAATTTCTTAGGTTGAATATTTGTCGAAGTATCGTTAGCTTCTATCTTTATAAAACCAAGATATCTTTCATATCTCACTTGCTTAGCAGGATCACCAATGAACGGTCTGAAACATAACTCATCAGAAGTTCTGTCTTCATCAGTCTGTGCTTCTTCATTGAGATCAGTTTCGACTTCCTTTCGATGGTCAGGCAATGGTTCTCCTAAAATCATTGCTCAGTCAGAGGAATTAACTATATCTTCTTCTCTCACTGCCTGGACATTTCCAAAAACATCAGGACCAACTCCTAATTTTCTTTGAGTAATATTTTGATTTTAGCTGGTATACGGCCTTCCATGCCATTGAAATTTTCAATCACTACGAGCATTTCTTGTTCTTTTTGTCTTTCTTTCCTCCTAGCCTCTTTCAAACTAGCAAGCGCTTTCAAAAGAAAGTCAAATCTGGACATATTATTTTTAATATAAATTTCTTCATCTTCATCCCCAATTGCCTTGATGCTATCTTAATTAGCATCATCTTTAGCACACGTGTCTTCATCTTCATCCTTAAATCTTCTAATGATATCTTCCTTAGCATCATCTTTACCATAAATGTTTTCATCTACATCCTCAAATGTTCTAATGCTATCTTCTTTAACATTATCTTTAGCATATATGTTTTCATCTTCATAGTCAAATGCTCCGACACCAAAAACCTGGCCATGGATTGATGATGTATTTTTTTTTTTCATAAACTTTCAAAGGAGTTTCTAACAAACCAAATCTTTTTTTGTCAAAACCCGAATTAACACAGTGTTGGTCATATCATTTCTTCATTGGATACATAATTTTCTATTGAAAGATCTAATATTTCCTTCTGAATCAATTCCAAAATCTCAAACTTCTGCTTCAAAACCTTCGAGTAAGCGTACACGTCTTCAAAATTATCAGATTTAATCAATTTTTCTAACTAGTTAGCGCAGCTTGTAAAGAAAAATTCTTCTTATCATCTTCTTACCTTCCATTGAACTCAGTCAACAAACTAGAAAATAGAGTACTCGACAGGCCCTGTCACGGACGCCACTTATGTCCGGGTTAGGATCAATATATAACTAACCGTTATATACGATAACTAGGTTCGAAATAGAATAGGGTTGAGTACTCTGTATTTGAAATAAACTCACTTTTATTTCACTACAATATGTGAAACTATTAAATATTTATAAAATAAATATCACTTTTGATCGATTCCCTAACAACCACTGTCCATGTGACAGAATATTTGTAGAAAAAATATTCTTGCATTGTTATCACATTGATATTGTTTTGTGATAATTAAATAAATGAAAGTATTGTGCCGCAGATGACTTTACAATATATTGACTGTACAATATAGATGACAAGTAGTCACGATTTGGGAATTATGTTAGGAATATTGTAGACTCAGGAAATCCATGGATTCATAGACAATTTTTCCAGTAGCTTTGAAGATATTTATATCTTATATTATTGCTTTCGACAGAAATTTTGGCTTCTTGTTGTGTTCTTGATATTTGATTTATTCTGTTTTTGTTTTCATAATATTTGAGAAATATTATTGATTTATTTTATTAACAAGTGATCCTCAAGATTTGTCACTAATTCTAATGTTTGAGGTTAAAAATTGTTTCAATATAATTTTTAATATATCCATTCCATAAGGTATCATGACAGAAGAAATAGTTTTAACTTGATCAGTTCTTATTATTTTTTTATTAATTTCAGCACAAAAAGAAATTCTCAATGTTCTTCGGTACGATTTACCAAAGATTTTCAACAATAGTTTTATTTTTCTCAACACATATTTTATTTTATTCTCTACTGGAGTCAATCAATAATTATTTTTATATTATTGATTTTTTATAATATTACCAATTCAATTTTATAACTGGAACATTATTTTCTCCTTCATTGGCCAAGTTAATTTTCTGCGTATTTGGGCATTTATACATTACTAGAATAGTGTGTAATATTTGCGAATGGTTTCTTTAATAATTAATTTTATCTATACTAAATATTGGTTTAGTCGGACGACGATGAGGAATAAAATTTTGTTTAAAACAATGTTGTCATATGCAAGTTGGTTTCTTAATGCAATTTTTTTTTTTTAAAAAGTCGCTAAATCTTGAAATTATAAGCTAATAAATATAGCAATTTCCGAGTCTTCAATTTCACCGTTACTATTTAAAATTAAATATCACTTATTATGTCGAGCCTCTGTTAATGTGCCAGAATATATTTAGAATATAACTGAAACGTAATATAATATAGCTATGATAATTTCTTCACCTGTAGGTATGTGTAAAGAATGAAATTAGCAATAGTTCACTAAATGCTATGGTTTATTATTGCAAGTGCGTAAAAATTATAGAAATCGGAAATATTTTAATTGTGTAATATCTGTGACTGGTTTCTGTAAAGGTTCGTTTAGATATTTCACAAACTATGGGAAATTTAAATGGTTGTTTCCTTATGCTTGTGTTATGGTTCTTTTTTTTTATGTCTTGACTTTGCGCTGAAGTTTCTGTTAAGTTAGATCATTGTGTTTCTCATAGTTTGTGAAATGTCTAAACGCACCATAATACTTAACCTTGCCATAAATAATCGTTTATTTGGACGATTCTAAGTAATAAAAAATTATTTACTCTGTTAGTTACATAAATTATTTACATATTAATTGACAAATAAAATGTACAATAATATAAGTCTGATAAAATCTACAGCTCTAGGTATATGTAAAGAACTAAAGTTGTAGGCTTTAAGTGTACAAAATGTAGTTATTACGATATGCATTTATTTACGACATTGGTGTATTATTGGTAATGTGTACAAATAAGAAAGGTTGGGAATTTTCGAGAAAAAAAATCTTCAAAAAGTGGATGATTATCAGAAATTTCAATGGTATACACAATTTATATATATATATTTTTTTAAACTGATTAAATAATGTAATAAATTAATAAAATTATTTTTGATCCTTGATAACTTCACCACCGGTACTTGTTAAAATTAAATATCACTAAACTATGAGTATTTCGAACTTGTTTTAACGTGCCAGAATTTAACGAGAATATAACAACTAAAATTTAATGTAATATACCTATGATAAAATAATATAGTTTTAGTTATATGAGGTTTTCAGTACGATGATATTTGGCATTTGTTTATAATTGCAAGTGTGTAAAACTATAAAAATAATAGTGGTCTGAAATGTTTGGGAAAAATATATTAAAAAAATTATTTCAATTCAATTAAAAAAATTAGTGTTTAATCGGAAAATTCAATGTTTTTTTTTTTAAAATCTGCATAAACTAATTAAATTTATAAAACAATCTTTGATACTGGATAAGTCATCCAATACTTTTTAAAATTAAATATTACATAATTATTTCGAACTTCTGCTAATGTGCCAGAATATCAGGAAAAAAAAGGAAGAGCGAAATTTAATACAAGGAAGAAAGTGTAGGGATGGAATTGGGGCAGTGGTAAAGATAGTAAATTCAAAGGACTCGGTTGTGGGTCACGTCATTACTATGACGTCAGCGCTGTTATTGATTGGAATGTGGCGCCTCGGCTACGACCCTAACGAAAATGAAACCGACTTGGCGGGAAATTCAAACGTGGGAAATTGAGGTCATCGGACAGAAGCCTCATAGGTTTCCCTCACGACTTAAAATATTTACGTAACACCGCTAACTAAATTATATTTTATACTTTTAGATGAAAATAGTCAAATGTGGCCGTCAACAATATTTTTCATAATGCCCTGAAAACCAACCTATATTAATATGCTGAAATCTTGTAAACTTGAATATTTTATTAATCCAATTTTAATATACTTATTATTTTAACTTTTAAATAGTATAAATCATTTTTTAAAATATATTTCTCGTCTGAATACCTGCCAAGAAGATTTTAATTCACTTTCTTCGACTGTTAAAAGGGTAATAATGGTAATAGGAAAAACTGTTAATTAAAGGAATCGTTTCCGTTACGAATAATTCACTAAATACAGCTAAACTTCCATTATCCAGAGGACTTTAGTACCAATTAAACATAACAGGTCAATATAAATTAAGCTTTAAAAAAAATAATAATACGCGCCTATTGAATTATCATTAGGTTCTGTTGAAATTTATTACAATAACATAAAAATAAAAAATAAATTCTCCAAACTATTCCAAAACTATAACTTTTCCTGGGAATAATTAGATATTTAAATTTATATCCAACTTCTTTTTCTATGTTTTCTTGGAACCTGGTTAGCTCGAGTTTTTATATAGACGTTATTTTTATCATTAACTGAAGACCCTTTCGGAGGAAATTAACTTCAAATGGCGGAAAAGAAATATTTGTGAATGGAGCCACAAGTAACAAATAATCTATATACATTATACATAAACATATACATATATTAGCATTGGTTGAATCCCTTTTTTTAAATAAAAAACATAAATAATAACTCGGTGGAGGGAGGTGTGTAATAAGCGATTGGTGGTGTCGGCATCGAAACTTCGGGTTCGCTAAGCCTTTATTATTATAAAAAATAACTGTCATTACATTAATGTTGATCTTTCTACACACTACAGAATTTGTTGTAATGAAATTGTTAACATGTTCTTTCAAATCTTTAAAAAATATGTTTTTAAAAATTATTTCCATTACTTTCCTAATTTGTTTATCCCAGTCATTTCACACTTTCCATTTTAATTAGGGTGGGGACGATGAACCCCCACAAAAAAATGGGAATAGTTTATATTATGAGTAAAAACTAAACATAAATATTGGGAATCGAACGAGGAACAGCCTTCATAACATGGGTACATTTCTATAACATTTCCAGCTTAAAATAAATAATATTAAAAAAATGAAAAATGTTATTAATTTCTTAGTTTTCACAACGTTAAAATAATAATACAATGTTTTCACAGCCTAAATAGTTACTTAAAAATTTCTATGAAAACATTCTCTACAAAGTATATTTATACTTGTGGTTATTACTCCTGTGGTGTCCCTCAAGGTTCCTCTCTATCTCCTACTCTGTTTGCTATTTACATTAATGACCTTCCTCTCATGATCCATCACTCCCAATACCATATCTATGCAAATGATTTCCAAATATACCTCTCCTTCCCGCCCTCTGACCTATTATCAGCCACAGAAAAACTTCAAGAAGACCTGGATAAAATTTGTGA